GAAAGAGTTACCAAAATGTCATACCTGTAAAGCAATAATTTTAGGAGATTATTTTAATTATATTCAATTATTGATTATGTTAGATGATAAAGCTGACGACTAATCAGAAACAGAGGTTTTATAGCATTATCGCAGCAGCCAAATCATTCAAACTGACAATGCACGCAAACTTGTTCAGCCCTGTATCTTAAACAGAGTATTTTCTGTAGCATGTTCTCTAAAAGACAGCACTGCTGTGTCTTTGTTAGAAGGAAATAAATAACACTGTCTGTTCACACAGTAGACTAGGAGGCAGGCAGTGTATTTTTAGCTACTGTTAGTGCAAAAGCCTCTTGGAAGTGTCTCTTACCGGTTCTCCTGCACTGCCTGCTGCGTGATGGCAATAACTGATGAGACCAGGGATGGGCTGTTCACCTTTTGCCATGATAACAGCAGAACTGGTGTAGGATGGATGCTTCTAATGCACAACACATAACAGCTATGAATACAGTGACAGGAAAACATGAAACTATACAAGCAAATGACTGAAAGGGAATGAGGTGAAAACAAGTGTGACATAGACATGCCAAGCTCATATGAACATAGCCAGTTTAGATCTCAGGTATTTTCTGCCTTTAAAAATGGCACATATTATTTATCTTTGCCTATATAAAAATAAATGAATCAATTTAAAATTTGTATTAATAGAAACTGAAACTTGCAAGTCATAATTACCTTAATTCATCCCTGTAAAGATATATGTAATCAGGATTTTCTGTACATGAGGAGATGATCTCCAGCTGCAGCTGTCTTAGAAATGTCAAGATGTCTCAGACCTGAATTCACATTTCTGGAGTCAGAATGTTGCTGCTTTGGTTTAAAAATTGTTTAATATAATTTTGAGTTACACTTTCAATTCCCATAATAAGAATTAAAAGCACAATTTGTGGAGTAAATAGTGAACAAAGCAGTTTGGAAAAAAAACCTTTCCAAACACATAGGAATACATTGTCTTTCCATTTGAAAACTGAAGACATATCACTGAGGTAAATATTTATATATTTCTTAAAATAAAATGCTATTTCTTTGGAAACATTTAAAATTTGAACTGAAATAATTTGCAAGGTTATCTATTTTTTTCCTTTTGTAGTCTCAAATTTATTATTTTGGTTCGAGTAATGTTGATCTCTGATTACTGGTTAAGGGAAGGCTATAAAGACAATGTGATGACATTTAGTTCTGCGGCAGAATTTCACATCTCTTATGCGGACATGCACACTGGAATACAGTAGTCTAGATAGCTTATTACTTAGCCTGTTGCCTATCTGTCATACTTTTAGTCAATGTTTTTAGAAAACAACATTTTATTTACAAAATAGGTATTACGGCTTAGAAAATTTTGTTGTGATTCCTTAATATGCCACTTACTAGACTTTGCATGCTCAGGCATGGGAGTACTTTGAATAATAAAAAAAAAAACACACACAAAAACAAAACCACAAAAACAGTCTGTCCCATCAGAATGGTACCACAAAAATGAATGTTATTGTCAAGACGGCAAACAATATATCTGCCACTGAAATTTAGGATCACCTACCGAAACAGGATCTGCATATTTTTATGAAGCTGTATTTCTACAAAAGGTACCTAAAATACATCTGTCTGACCACGCAGACATCAATGTGCAGACTTAACATGCAAATGAATATTGGTGGAAAGTACCTGAGACAGAAACTAAAGGGTGTCCAAGGGAAACAAACCAGACTCACCTTAGCTGCAATGGCTGCTGCTGTTATATGTGAAGAAGAACTGTCCTCTGTTGAGGCAACTCCACTATCCTTCTTCTCTTCCTCCTCTTCCTCACACTGTACTCCTTTGTCTTCTGTCTGCTTGTGAGGGCTGGTGGTTGGAGGAGGAGAAAGAGGAGGTGGTGGTGAAGGTAGATCTTCAAGCTCATCATGTACCTCCTTTACTTTTACAATGGCGTCTCGCAAAAGATCAATGGCGTGAGGTAGGGCTGGCAGTATAAACTGAAAGCATTCCTATGCACAACAAGAAGAGAAACGGCTATGAAAAGTTACCTGCAGACGTAAATATGGATTTTTCAGATTTATTCTTAAAAGATATTCAGGATTTAGATGTATCTTTTCAGCTGATCATAAATAAAACCTTAAATGCCCTACTCAAGTGCTCACAGAGGGTAAAAAACCGAACTCAGTACCAGAACTGGGGACTATACTATATATTTTTGCCTTTTTTCATGCAAATATAGTAAGTTGTACAACAGGGCTACTGTAATTAAGTTAGTATTGCATTAAGACTTCAGAAAACAAGAGTTAAATTTTCATGAATACATAATACAGAAACCAGTTCACAGCAGCTGGCAGAATGCTATAAAAATGCAGAACAAAAACATTAACTCTATCCCTGCAGGGATATTAGCTTCAAATAATTCCTATTATGTTCCTTCACAATTAGAGTACAATTCATAAGGGTTTCCATAATTATACTTTTATATAATTATATCCTTTTTTATTCATGGACTTATCCTATATACTGGAAGAATGACAAATATGTAACTAAGAAAAAATTGTTCATAAATAATATATTTTTCAAACCTCTCCTTGCTCTATGATCTTAAAGACAATTAGAAAGTTGATTCTATATGGCTGGAGAAAATAAAAATGCAGACATCGTGTAACTGTTCTCGTTTAATAATGGGCATACACATATATAGCTATCTCTGCTGCTAAAATATGCAAGTATTTCATCAAATCAAAGAACTTTAGGATGCCACGCAGTGCAGGCTCTTGCTTAGATTAGAGTCAATATGAAATTCAGACAGGTTGCTTGGGTCTTGAAAAAATCCAAGAACAGACTTCACAACCCTTCCTGACAACCTGTTCTAATGCTTAGTTACCCTTAAAGTGATTTTTATTTTCCTTTTTATCCGGCTGGAATCTACCTTCTTCGATTGATGACTATTGTCCATTATCCTATGACTGTTTTCCTCCTCCCAGGCACCTCACCTTGAAGTCATCTGAGCAGACTGCATATGAACATTAAAGTATTGGAAAATGAAGGCAGGGTCACAGGAACAGATTGCCATGGCAGTGCGGTTAGGGAACATACAAGTTGACAGAGAAAGCTGACATTGTTCCTTTTGTTGTACTTCATTTTTGGTTTCGTTTAAAGCATAAGGAAGATTTTTTTAAAGGTACTTCAACATTTAGAGAATCCAGAAAATAAATAACGATAAACATTTTGTAAATAGATACTGTAACAAATACTTTCAATAAAAAAGACTATGTAATCAAAATAAAGAGCAACACATTCATCAGAAATTATTAGAGTTTATATAAGCCACTTTGTAAGTCAAAAACATGACTCACAAACACTGGATTTCCTCAAAGCTGCTAAGAACGCACCTTTCAGTAGTTCCTTTAAGAGTAATGAAAAGTCAGAACACTTCATAGATTTATAAATTCTTTAAACATTCATTTTAGCACACTGAAGAACTGGAGTTAACTAGGTGAGCATAAGATGCTGTATATAATGAATACATATTAAAATATATTTGAAAGCATAATGAAGAATTATAATTTCTAATGTAGCTGCAAAGCTCAGTTACTGTGCCTCCACAGTGTTATTTGAAAAATGGCTTAAAACACTGAGGCATACAACCATCATTACTTCAGTATTTAAGCAGACCTCAAGTATGTGATAAACAAGGACAACAGTGAATTATCTATAATCATGAAAAAGTACATTAATTATTACCTCATTAGAGAAGCATGTTTCCCACTCCTGCCACTGAAATAAAGCCTTGTTGGCTTTGACTGTTGATTAATAGGTTGCCAGTAAGTACTCTAAAAGTTCATGCTATTTGTAAAATTCATTGTTTTAGGCAACTGTTAGTACAATTATGAAAATTGTCATAGACCCAATGAGAGTATACCCCTTTTGGAAGAAGGGGCAGCTAATTAAAGAAGAGTACAGGGATCTCATTAGGTCACACAGAGAGAAAATAAGCAAGGCAAAGCCCAGCTAGAACTCAATCTGGCCACTGTCGTAAGAGATAACAAAAGTGTTTTAAAATATACATTAACAACAGAAAGAGAGCCAAGGAGAATCTCCACTCTTGATTGGATGCAGGAAGAATATTGCCACCAAGGATGAGGAAAAGGCTGAGGTACTTAATGCCTTCTTTGCCTCAGTCTTTAATAGTCAGACCAGCTACCCTCAAGGTATTCAGCCCCTTGAGCTAGAAGACCGGGACGGAGAGTAGAATAACCCTCCCATAATCCAGGAGGAAGCAATTAATGACCTGTTATACCACCTGGATGCTCACAAGTCTATGTGGCCGGATGGGATCCACCTGCAGGTCCTGAGGGAGTGGGGGGGCTGCGGAAAGAGCCTGCCAAACCACTCTCCACCATTTATCAGCAGTCCTGGCTAACCGGGGAGGTCCCAGACAACTGGAGGCTTGTCAATGTGACACCGATCTCCAAGAAGGGTCAGAAGGAGGAACCGAGGAACTACAGAGTTGTCAGTCTGACCTCAGCACCAGGGAATATCATGAAGTGGTTCATCTTGAGTACATTCACATGGCATGTGCAGGACAACCAGGGGATCAGGCCCACCCATGAAAGGCAGGTCCTGCCTGACCAAGCTGATCACCTTCTATGACCAGGTGACATGCACAGTGGACGAGGGAAAGGCTGTGTTGTCCTTGTCCATGTGGACTTTAGTAAAGCCTTTGACACCGTCTCCCACAGCATTCTCATGAAGAAACTGGCTGGGCATGGCTTGAATGGGCGTACTCTTTGCTGGGTAAAAAGTTGGCTGGATGGCCGAGCACAGAGAGCTCTAGTGAATGGAAGTAAATGCAGCTGGCAACCAGACACAAGTGGCATTTCCCAAGGCTTGGTTCTGGGGCCAGTCCTGTTTAACATCTTTATCAATGATCTGGATGAGGAGGATTGAGTACTCCCTCAGCAAGTTTGCAGATGACACCAAATGGGGTGGGAGTGTTGATCTGCCTGAGGGGAGGGAGGTTCTACAGAGAAACCTGGACAGGCCGGATCAATGGGCTGAGGTCAATTGTATGAGGTTTGTACAAATTTGTACAAGGCCAAGTGCTGGGTCCTGCACTTCAGTCACAACAACCCCATGCAGTGCTACAGGCTTGGGGATGAGTGGCTGGAAAGCTGCCAGGCGGAAAAGGACCTGGGGGGACTGGCTGAAAACCAGATGAACATGAGCCAGCAGTGTGCCCAGGTGACCAGGAAAACCAAAACAGCATCCTGGCTTGTATCAGAAGTAGTGTGGCCAGCAGCACTAGGGAAGGGATCGTGCCCCTGTACTCAGCACTGGTGAGGCCACACCTTGAGTACTGTGTTCAGTACTCAAGAGGAAATGTCCCCAAGTTGTGCCAGAAGAGGTTTATATTGGATATCGGGAAAAATTTCTTTATTGAAAGAGTGGTCAAGCATTGGAACAGGCTGACCAGGGAAGCAGTGGAGTCACAATCCATAGAGGTGTGCAAAAAATGCGTAGATGTAGCACTACAGGACATGGTTTAGTGGCGTGGTGGTGCTGGGTTGGTGGTTGGACTTGATGATCTTAGAGGTCTCTTCCAACCTTAATGATCCTGTGATTCTATGATTTTAGAAAGCATCTGGTAACTTTGCACTTTGCCCTCTTTCATAACATTAAGTACCTATTCCAAGGCTAAAAGAAAGGAAAACAGATCAAAACAACACAAAAAGGGATATTGATTCTGTGCGCTGCACAGAAACATTATCTGGAGAAAATAATTGGTACGCATTGTGTCAATTTTTGAGATGGAGCATTTACACTGCTGCCATTTTCTATTAAGAGTTTAATATTTTATTAATGCAATATGTGTATTGCTGCAATTTCATAGCCTTATATAAGCCTCTTATATGATTGTAATAATATGGCAGAAAGGAAATTAGCAAGTCATAAAAGAGAGAAATTCCTGGTAACAACTTGTCCTATTTGGTTCTGGAGATTCAGGCTGTTATGGAGTAGTTTTCTTTACTATTCATCTTAATTTTTGCTGAAATCCTATACTTTAAAGATGTTTCACATTAAAATAAGCTGTCAAAGAACAGAGTATCATCATGTCAGGAACAAATAAATCATCTGTTTACATAAAGCTTGATTGTATTATGAAATCATATGACATTTTTTTCTTTTCCAGCAGAATTACATTTTTTATTACTTACTTTACATCGAACTGTTGTTAAAATACATTTTAAGATTTCTTTTCCTCACCCTCTTTCTACAATTTACCTACCTTCACAAACTGAGTGCCTCAGGGCACAAAAAGACAATTTTTCTCTACCTAGCACGTTAGGAGTGCTAATGAACACACCAAAAACTATTAGAGATTGTAGGCTATTTCATCTCTTTCATAACTCAACAAAAGAATCATAGACTTCTGAAAAAGTCTTCTTACTGGTGCACTAGTTCTCTAAGATGTGGAGCCCACTGCTATGCTAAATACAGGTACATACATACGACTTCCCACTCACTGGAAGACTTTCAAGTAGGTATACTCCTGCCCCACCATACTCCAATGCTTGTTGCATGTTTTGAAGGCTTTTAAAATTTCATTTCAATTACAGAGTCTCGTTAGATTTCCTAAAAAGGCTCTAAGGAATGGTAGAATCACTGAAGGGTTTACCGAGTCCTTGAACTGAAACATGTAGACGCTGTCTGAAAACCTGCAACGGCTGCTTAAAATGATAGTGTTCAAAACACTTCCTCTTCAACTTCCAGGTGACAGCCCACATATGCATTCTTTATTTATCTCCAGACACAAGTCTTTCAAGCAACAGTGACTTCAGGGCTGTTCTGTCAAACACATCAGTACTGCCTCCTCTGTGATTGGGTACTCCTGGTTCAGAAGACGTTGATGAACTACCAGGTACGTTCTTGTTAGAGGCCAGAGGTAAAGACATTTTTAACAAGGCCACTGACATAGCCTGAGTCCTGGAGAATTATGCTCTCATGATTGATGGGGGGTCAACCTTAGCAGTTTTGTATCAGGTTGTACAGCCCACTCTTCAGCTTATGAGTATTTGTGTGGAGAAGGCTGTTTTTCTGGATTTATCAGCCAACTACACAGAAAGAGCAAGGAGTGGAAAGATCCAGCCGTACTCTCACACACACACAGATATCCTCCTGATGTTTGTGTTTCTCTCAGTTCTGCAGTCATACATAAGCATGAATAAAAACTTAAGGCCTAACTTCCCTGTCCAAATTGAGCAAAACGCAGGAAGAAAACAAACTGTATAAAGGGTGTAAAGTCCCATAACCCATAACCAAAAGATTTAAAGAATCCTCAAACTCTTAAAAATTATAGCTCTTTTTTCCCTCTTGCTGACCAAAATTGGGAATATTCATCATATTCCAGCAAGTTCCACCATACACCAAGCCTTATTCTTACTTCTGTATGAAAAAGAACGCTTTCTTGAAAGCTGCAGACAACATATAGAACAGCTACAGGCTGACTAGAGAAGAACAAGGAAGTGTAAGACACCGTTAGTCTCTTCATTAGCACTGCCTGCTACGGTGAGCGTTCTCTTGTGCTACATGTAATGAAGTTAATACAGTACCTTCAATCAGATCAGAACTGTATCGTCCTTGAATGAGAGCGATGGTGCATTCAGTTATATGAATATGCATTTCAATTCACTTCTATGAATTTGTTGTAGTGGGTACTTTCTACCATTCAGAACAATGGGAAGTACTCATCATGGGTCCTCAGTAGCAGATCAGTAAGAACACATCTTACCTGTGACCCTTTCTTGCTACCTGGCAGATTAATTATGAGAGTTTTCCCTCTGATTCCACATACAGGTCTGAAAAGAAAGAAACCCAGAGTGAAATTCTCACATGCAACCGTCTCCACCGTAGAAACAAGAACAGAGCATTTAAGAGATATTCTATTATTTATCAGAATCTTTAAACTCAATTTCCAACATCTAAAAATGTTTGCTAATCATGTTCTCATAAAACAGCTCAGGAGAAGCCAAGCTGAAAAAGCATCAAACAAGGCTGTCAGAGTCTAAAATTTAATTGATAGTATAAATGCTGCCTAGATCTCCATCTTCATTACATCTGTGTAGCTCCCTTAATTCTATTGTTCACTTGCATCCAATACATTCTTTGATATAGTCCCTATTTGCTCATACAATGGTTCCTTTGTAATATAATTGACTGTGTCAAACACTGCTTCCCTTGCCAGGTAAAAATACTAAGTCATGCTGGTTGCATTAATTTAAATATGTTTTCTTTTTTTTTTAAAGATGCAACATAAAAAAGCCCAGAGGGAAGTAATTCTCAAGTTAAAACTGCACTTATGCATTTCATATCTAATTCTTCCTAACAGTCTTTCCATGCCCCTCGAGAAAAGACAAAACCAAATATCAAAGATGGAAGATTTTATTTTATTTTTTGTCTTTAGTGTTGATGCAGGGCTGAACTTAAGCACTCAAGTGCTGAATGCTTTCTGTTGTTTAGTTTGCCTCTTCCTCTGTTTAGCTAAATATTTTTCAAGAAAAATATTAAAATTACTGGATTTTGTCTTGAGGTTGTAAAGAGTGCCTTCTGCTTTTCTTTACTGTTTACGAAGAAACCCAGGGCTGGGGTATAACGATAAAAAAGTAAAAGTAAAACCAAACCACAAAGATACGGAGACTACAGTTGAAAGAAACTGTGTAACAATCTCCTTATCAAACAAAAACATGAGCCATAAGTGAAGACAGAATAGAAAAGAAAATAACTTCTTGAGAGGGCAGTACCAAAAAATTTAAGCCAAAGAACATGGTTTGTGGGGTAGCCAACTTCCCTGGATTTCTTCTTGTACAAATAATTCTCAGTGATTAATGTCACTTATTGGTAACATGACATTCAGGGTAGCAAGTATTCTAGTGACAGCTGTCATAATACTCACAGTTAAATAGCACAGAGACCATTTTTGTGCCACAAAATGAATTTTAGATATTACAGTCAAGCCAGACTGAAGTCTTATTTTCAACCAGCACCTCAAATACTGCCTGACTCCTAGACTTTATTTTCCTATATTCACTTCTTGCACACCATAAACCTTCGGTTAAGAAAGAATTCCAGGTAGTTGTGGAATGCTCTACTGCAGTACAAAGATGAGGAGCCTGAGTTTAAGTATGTGCTCGTTCACTTTTGTTGCAGCAGTCAAACTTACAGAGTACGAACTCAATCCAGCAAATCCCATATGTGAGATACAGTTTATGACAAATTCAAAATAAAGGAAATAGGAATTATCCATACAGGAATGAAAATGATGTGGAATTGTGTTTGGCAGATAACGTCATCAATAATCTTCTTGGATCTTTTATTCAGCTTTAAATAATTTTGAACATTATAAGCTAAATGACCAGTACAAACAACGAATAATAAAAAGTACTAAACCAGCAGCCATTCTCCCGAAAGCTACATGTTTCGTCTGCCAAAAATCACATCTAGTGACTCAAGACAGAAATGGAGCTGCCAAAAATTTCTCAAAACAGCATGCAAAAGTAAGTAAAGTACCTAAGAACTGCACAGCTTGCAAAAAATACTGTGTATTCTCACAAGATAATAGCACACAAAATGCACATGCATTCTGGGTAATATGAGAGATTAATTACTGATATTCCTCCAAATGTAGAACAGTTGAGGGAGATGCTGTGGATCTCCTGTTATACTCAGCCTTGTTATGCAGTGGACAGAAATTTTAAGAAAAAACAAAGTCTGAGAAAGAAGTGCTGTGGCCTAGCCATGACAGAAAAATACAAATCGAAGCAAGGAATAGAACTAAAAACAGGACACAGAAGAAAGACAAAAATGGATACAGGAGAAAAGAAATACAGGTCTGATGCAGATGTAGGACTGGAGAACATTATTTCTTTGGGAAAAAAACATCTCCCTGGGAAGAAATCATGCTGGTAAAAGCAGAATAAATGGGCAAGGAGACAGAGAGTGCTTTAAAAAGCCTCAATAAAGACTGCCACGGTAAGGAATTGGGTGAAGAGAAAATTCTGGGACAAGGACAGTTTTGGAAGATCACAGGGAAGAAAAGGAAACACTTTCAGGAAACACATAAAAAGGCCTATGACGCTCTAAAATACTCCCTGCTGGACCTTGAAACTGAATCCAAACTATGAGTCTTGCTGCCCCTCATTTGCCCCTAAGTATCTGTGAATCCAGACCACAAAATAACTCACTACTTCCTAGCACTGGCCCACAGTCAGGAAGACAGTCTGTAACTTGAATAATTTTTAAAAGTTCATGTGGTAAAGTCCAACATGGCTGACCTAACATTTCCAAACCTGCAGGTGATTTATAGACGTGTCATCTTAATGTTGCATAACAGAACGTCTGGTTTTGTTTTTCTGAAAAGTCAAAGAAACCATAATGCTGCAATTTTGTAATTTTTGTGTACTCAACTTTATGATCTGAACAGTGTTATAAAAATAATGGCCTTTTGCACGCTGATTGTTTTTAGGCCTGAAATAAAGATTTTCTCTGGAAATTTTTTTAAGGCCTAATAGGATCGCATGCAGTATCTTTATCTCCCATCATTGACATCAATTATTACTGAAAGTGGCTGTAGTTTAAGGGACATTTTCTTGCTTTATGTACAGAAAAGGCAGGTTGCAATCTAGCAGTTTGGTTCCTCTACCATTACAACATCCTTTCAGCCATCCTGATCACACCACATCCTAAATCAAACTTGGTACTGTCATCTAAATGGCTATCCTTCTCTTGATCAGAAATGTAACGGGTACATTAACCTTTCCTCTCCTTGTGGTAGCATTCTGTTATTCTTTCTCTTCAGACAAACACAAACTATGATATAAAAATTATATCAGATTAAAAAAATACAATACTTGCTAGTTTGGATAGAACCTGAAGGTGTTAACTTGATAAAGTTGCCCTTTCAGATATGTGATACGTGATCTGAAAAGTTTTAAAATACCTTGTCAACCCACTAAACCTCTCATCTAAACGTCCTTTAAAAATGCAAGTATTTGAATACAAAGTTGCGGATTTGAAAGTTCCTTCTCTATTTCTGATATAATTATTTTCTTGTTTATTATTATTCTCATTATACAATGAGAAATCAAAAACCTGTAACAGACACAGTTTCTTAGTTACCTTAAAATAATGTGTAAGCACAAACTAACTTCTGAAAGGTGTTGATATTACTAATATATCCTATAATATAATATACCTATATGTACTATTATAGGTAAAATGAGGTAAATTGAAGGAATAAAATAAAAATCAACTCCAGAAAGAAATAAAGGATAATGAGAGATGTCACTAATAAAAAAGAACCAACAACAGGTAGAAAAACAGTGACTAATTATTTAGTAGGAAATACCAAACCCTAGGAGTTAAAGTACTACACAAAAAGCATGGGATAAAATACCATGTAACTTATTCAGATAGTTTTTGCTGATACAGGAGTAAAAGCAATATCAGAACAATACATTTGTATTTATTGAAGGGGTTTTTTTTGCAAAACAAGGCATTTTAGTACTTGATGAACTACATATAGAAGAATTCTTCACTCACCACTGAAATGCCACAGCTCTAGGATGAAAAGACAGCTGTTAAGCATTGCATCAATATTACAAACTACCTGGCACAGAAAATACAGGAGGATACAGTGTCTACTGGAGACAACAAACAGAATTAAATGACAGAATGCAATTACCATTCTTGGAAATTGGTCAGTTCTCCGAAGTTAACACTTCCAGTCTTGGCAATCTTCAGTTATTTGTGTATAGCAATTTCATGACAATGTGTATTTCTAAGGAAATAGTTCACCTGATATTTTGAAGGAAATAGTCTTACCTAGAGAGCATGCCCAGAGGAGTAACATTAAGTGATCCCATCAGCATTGCCAGGGCCATCCCCGGGGCTTCTCGCTCTATTACTTCTTTAGTAGCCTGCAATCAGAGATTAAAGACCAAAGTGAGTGAAGAAGTACAAGGACAAGAAAAATATGAAGCCAGCTAAAATTTGGGTAAGAACATCTCCTTTTTCATTCCTGCCAAGAGACATCGTTGCTCAATTTTCAACGCTGAAAGATGTTAAAGAATTTTCTCTTGGTTGTGTAAAATAGGGGAAAACAAGGGGCTGGGAAGAAGCGGTGTCAGCTCTACTGCAAAGACTCCTATAGAAAATATTAAAAGTCAGGACCTTATCTATATATAGGAAATGCTAACCAACACCACATAATAACAACAGCTCCCTCTAACAGAAAGGAAAGAATGCTTGGGAATACGCAAAGAAAAGGCCTTCTCTTCCTCATCAATCCCATGTGCATTTTCCCGCTGAGATTTTCCCAGGCATGAGAAGAGTGAATCAGTCTGCGCAGAAGACAGAAAAAAAATTGCAAAGGGAAGCCCATGTAGCAGGCAGGCAGGAAAACAGTAAGATGGTAATGATAATGGCCAAAGGCTGAGGTCTTCCCTTTTGATCATGTCAGCAAAACAGCACTCCAAACAGGCTGGTGGCTTTGATTCACAAGCGGTCTATATGCAGTGGGCATCAGGAAGCCCGGAAGCAGAGTCTGAAGTCTTTTGTCTGTTTTTAATCCTTTTTCCATGCAGGGAATCAGATGGAAAACTATTTTTCTGGGATGTGCACAACCTTCTGTCCTTACTTCCTAACACAAATTTTCTCAAATGCACAATGTGTCCAGCCTCCGAACCTTTAACTTTAGTTAGGACATAACTACTCAAAGGCAGGTTACAGTCCTACCCTCTCCATTTCCCTCACAGTAGTTGCTGCTCAGTGTCTCATCTTGTTTCATGGTCTGAAACAAGATTTTAAGTTATTTGGCACAACTAAAATGTTAGCAATGATCATAAAACTGTGAAATCCATTGTAAAACATCCAGCCAAACTACAACACTTTGATGGTACAGCTATCAAAACAGAAATAGAAAAGCACATCTTAAATATAAGGATGCTCTGAATAAGCTAAGTTTTCTTGGCAGTTTGATACAGAAAAAGAATAAAATGGAAGAAAACCAGACACGTTATTTTGTGGAAAAGATTAAAATATAAATCACATCCTTGCACTTTTGTAAGCTCCTACTTTATAAATAGAAAAACAAAAGTCTTAGAGAAGGAAAATGATGGAATTAACCCAATGGCATCTCTGTGAGAAGGTTCAGGAGTCCTACACTAGCTATACAGCTAAATCACATGAAACAATAAATTAAACAGATAAAAAATATCCTTAAACAGTATAAATATTCAAGTGGTCATATTCTCAAACATGGCCACTAACACTTAACATGTTTTAAAGGCATATGTCAGTATCAGAAGGCATCAGACAGAGATACCAAGTAAGCCTTCAGATCTTGTACTAAAGCAAACTTGGTATGTGCTCAGCTGTGGGAAGCAGGAACTTTGGTTTATACAAAACTAAGCAGTTTTAACTCAGTAGCTGACACCACAGTCTCTTTTATTTCAAGCATAGCATGTTGGATTTAGTATCCGCCAACAGAAAAGGCATATAAATACAACCCAGTGTCTGTATTTCTACGCAGGGGAAATGAGAAGTAGCAGGCTAGGAATGATGTAGACAAAACTAAAACCTCTCCACTGAGGGAGACTGCTTAAAGACACCTGCTGAGGTATTAAATTATCAATCACATTAAAAAATCTTAAGACTATCTATAGACACAATCATTTTTATAGTATAGAAGAAAAAGGCATTGCAATGGTGAAGAGACACCGCTGACAATGAAATAGTTGGTGAAACAGAATTCTCTGTGTGCGCATACATAGTAACTCTATATCTATGCCTTTTTTCAGCTAATACCATGCTTCAAAGCTATGCAAAACCAGTTTTAAATATAAAGTGCATTTTGAGATTTCTTTTTTTTGCCCTTGAGCACAGTGACACTTTGAAGATATCATTAGTTAAAATTCTAAACAGGCTTCAAAGGTAGTACGAGATGCAAGAGAGTTCCATAAACAACGATCCTGCAGCTTGGGGAGCCCTTCAATGAAATTCAAGTCCATTCTCCAACTTCACAAGAAAAATGACCTTCACAAAATGTCACTGCTAGCAGGCAATGTGATTATTAAAAATTTATAGACTAAGCAACAAAATCTGAAAGGGCAGAAAGTCCAAACAGCAGTACAGCCCTCAACAGAAGCTTCTAAAAATACCTGTTTCAAAATGTATATGCTTATATTTATATACTGCAGGCAGACTTCTACAAACAGCGGAACGTTTCCTGTTTTCACATTTGCAGCCTGACTGGATGGATGTAACAAAAAAAAGTCTGCTTCTGAGTAAACAACTTCTACAGTGACATCTGCTCTTGAAATCAGCCACTGGAAAGTCCACTCTTGGGATGCCCTCAAATAACACGACTTAAAAAGTGCAGTGTACAGGAACTGAAATCACCATCCCACTGGAGAGCACCCTCGTCATTAGCTACACATACACAAATGACAGCAGCAGTCCTGCAGTGATTTGCAGATATTTTGTGTCTATCTGTAACAACTCTCTGTTTCACCTAACAAGGTACCAAAGTGCTGGTGGCCAGATTTTCTAATACTTCTTTCAGGTTTGAAGGAAGGGTGGAAAAGAGATGTCAAAACCAGATTTTCATCTGTGTCCAGCTCAGGACTGAACTGTCTCGCACCAACTTCTACCTGTGTTCAAACTATTAAAGACCTAGTGACTCAGCACCTTCACATTTTTCCAGTACAGCAAGGCTGAATGAAGATTGTTAAACTTTGCTTCATGGGAAATTTTTTCTTGGTAGTCTCATCACCAGACAGCTTTTGCCTGCTGCAGGGGGGCATAGTTTTGGCACAAAACAAATAGCAAATAAAGGCTGTTGCACCTGGCTCTCTTATAATAGTGATGACAACACTACCATGTGGGCAGAAGCAGGAAAGAAATGGTGAGATTTCATTCAGAGCTGTCACACTGACATCAGGACTGAAGCTATACACTGATTCCTCAGACCTGAGGCTGATGACTATATAAAGTGTAGGTGGAAACTACTGGAGTAAATTTGCATTAAATACTAAAATGACAGCAATGAAGTGTCCCCAGTTTCTCCTGCATGAGGTGGTAGTGCAAAGAAGACAGGCGCATACAAGACAGAGGTGGCAGAGAGGGGTTCCAGAGAAGGGGAATCACTTGAAGGTAAAAGTAAGAGTTCAGGAGAAAGACAGAAATGCAGAAAGGCCAGTTTGGAGGCTGCAAAGAAAGGCAAGGTTTGTAGTCGAGACTGAAGAAGGGACTGTGCGAAGAAGGAAGCCCAAGTGAAAAGGAAGAATCACAGAGAGGAAGTCCAAGCAGCAGGATTGTCAAAAGGACAGGGATGAGAGGAAAGGCGAATAAATGAAGTGAGAGGGTTGGAAATAAGACTGCACAGGATGGCTTGGGCAGACAGTACATGAGGGGAAAAACTTAGGAGAAGGTAAAAGAAAGAGAGGTCATGGTAGCAGTGTCAGGCTGTGGGGGAACCAGAAAGAGAGACAATATGACTGAAATAAAATGGTTGTTGCTACTCTAGAGAGGAGAAATAGTGACTAACAATTAAATTAATTTGCAAAACTATTCAGAACTTAGTAACAATGTCTATGAGAGCAGTTCTTCTTATATTTTGTTGCTATATGAATAAATGCAATCCATTTTAAAACACATTTTTGATTGTTTTCAAAGTGCCTTTTTATTGGAGTGAGGGCATTATGTTCTCAAACCAACTGATATATTTTTAGATATCTTTGACGTAGTTGTGGCTGCTTAACAGATGGCTCGCTGCCAATTGGTTTCACAGAGTTCTCTGCTGCTTCATTGCCTTTCTTTGCCTCCATATAAATTAATATAGTTCAGTTCCTAGCCTGTGGAAGCCCTCCCAGGCAGCTTCTGAAGGATATACCCACTGCAGACTGATTTAATTAAAAGACCTAAGACTGCTCTTCTTGAAATGTTCAGAAACTCCTTATCTTTGTCTTTCAGGTATTAAAGCAAAGTTTGACCTCAATAATAAGTAATGGCGTGAGACATTTCATATACACTTCAGCAGTTTTGGGATGGTAATATAGTTTTATCTCTCCAACTAAAATGCAAATATAAAACTAAGAAGTCATAATAAATTTGATTAAATTAAGATGACTGAGAGTGCCTCTGCCGAAAACATTATTTTTGTTGAAAAAGTTATAATCTATGACTCTGCATAGCATATAATAAAGCTGTTTATGCAAATTAATGTACAAATTTGCAGGTAATTTATATTTAACAGACTACAGAATTAGCACAGATAACATTTTACTACCTATTTGAATTTTCCTTTGAAAGCAGAAATCTTGGAAGGGCCTAACCAAAGAAATAGCTATATACCCTCTGCAACAGAGATCACAGACAACAGCCAAATCTCAGAAGACTGGACAAAGAACTACAGAGACAGACCAGTCAAATACGCAACAAAAATGTCAGTCACGTCTGTCTACCAGTTGTGTAGAAAGTGTCTACTTTTGGAACAAAAATTGCATCTCCCAGCTCAGAGATGAGACACCTTCGCCAAGGTTATTCAGTGTACCTCTGCTGGAGATAACACGTGTGCCTGCAGATTCTATTCACAAGTCAGTAATTTCATCTTACTGTCTTTTTACCTACTCTTATTTTGCAGGGGACAAATTAAGAGTTTACCTGGAGCAAGACTGATTAGAGCTTCTCACCTAAAAGTCACTTATCTATTTCTTCTCTTAGTGCAGTAAGAAATACAGGTTGCAGCAGTTAGCTTCTTTTAATGCGCTGAAACGTTTTTGGATAAGGATCAGTTTTGAGTCACTCATTCTCAACATCATGCTGTCTTTCGTTGAATTTTCCTTATTCCCTGTGCCCAATAACCTGTGTGATGATACTCTGTGGTTTTTTTTATGGATGGAAGGCTTGACAGGAACAG